GAGGACGACGTTTTACCATTGCATGAGGTAAATTGTGTCCTAGAAGAGAAGTAGTTGACAAGAACGTTTAATACGTCGGATCCTAAGCTGCAGTCAGCAAGCCGTTGAATGAGAATGCGACGGTCCAGCGAACCAAAGGCGTTAGCGTAGTCAAGAAAAATAAGGCGAACAGTTCCAGCACTTGTATCGAGATCTGAGGCCACAGAATGGACAACATACACCACAGCGTCAACAGTCAAAAGGGCTTTCTTATAAGCAAACTGAAGAAGATCAAAAACATCAGAGAGGGTAGTCAAACGGTTTAACAGCACTCTTTCAAAGACCTCGAATAGGGTTGAGGTACATGCAATCGGTCGATATTTTGAAGAACCCTTTTGGGGAATGGGTCTTATCCGACAGCCCTCCAGCAATCAGGGATTGTTCCAGAGGACATACACAAATTAAACAACTCAGCGACGGATGTTGCAAGGTGTTCGGCACAGGTTTTTAATAAAATAGGGGCTAATGAGTCTGGTCCGTGGGCCTTGTTTGATTTAAGTTGCTTCAAAACTTTGAGAACCTCGTTCGGAGAAACAGGGTTGGTGATTTCTGAAGAATTGAAAACGGGCGGTAGAGAATGGGATCCAGAGGAGGCAGAAAATTGTCGGTTTAATTCTTCTACGTCAGGACAGGAGCTCCCACATGTGCCACAGAGTTGCTTCAGCACCGACCACATCTCGTGACAGCTCTGGTTGCCCAGGATGCTTTCAACATATATCCGATTCAAGCGCTGAATCTCTGCCTTGATGGTAATCGAGAGTCGTAGCGCCTGCCATTCGTATATGCCTTCTCCTTATTACGTCGAAGGCGTTTCAGGAGAGGCGATGAGAATCTGTCGATACGGATATCTGTTATCTCGATCGGGCAACACAAATCAAAACAGAAATTAAGGTAGCCGGTTAAATGTTCACATCTGAAAGAATTATTTGATTTGGAGAAGATAGAAAAATCGGTTGAAGAGATCATATCTTGGAGTCGGAATAAGTTATCATGTGTAAAATTCCTCCTTCGTATTGTTCGGGATTCTGCCTCTGCTTGTTGACGATGAAACGTTTTACCATAGATTTTTGGGTGCAAAAGAATTGTACAGTGGTTGGACGTGCTAATAGGGGCCCTTTTTTCTATAAAGAAGACATCTGGGATAAGATACGAACAGAGGATAACACCTTGAAGCACACCAAACTGACTAGAGGATTTGATCTACTCTTGCCCAACTTTTTGCACTGGATTCTTTCAGTGAAATAATGAGGAAGCAGCTGCCTCCGGGTGCCAAAAGATTCCAGCTTAAAAAGGAGGGGTGACCGGGCCACAAAAGCAAAAACATGAATAATTTAAAAAAACGCAACGAACAGATTTGGTCGAACTATTCAATGACTTGCTTATAAAATGAATCAGAGTAGACGTAGAATCCAAAGTGGATCTGTTGGGTTCATACGCAAACTGAAGAGGATCATGGGGAGTGGTAACATGTGACTCAGGATGGCTTGCTCAGTTAACTTTAGAATTACGGACGTCAATGCAATTGGACGAAAACATTTTCCAAGGGTTGAGGATGAGGTCTTTGGAATAGGTATTATGGTCGCTGGTCACCAGGAATCGGGGATCATCTGTGAAGAAAGAGACTCGTTGATGAGACCTGTCATCATGCTAGTTAGAGGGGATCCTCCAAACTTGAGAAACGCTGGAGAAAGACCATCAGGGCCCGCAGATGACGATGGTTTGAAGGAACGTAGAAGCTTAAAAATTTCGTCATTGTAAAAAGAGATCAGGTCGGAATAATAAACTTCACATTGGAAAAAAGGTATCTTTCTGTCATTAGACGATTGAAGAAATGCAGCGGTAAAGCTATTTACATCAACATCTTTCTTCACGTTTTTCCTTTTTTTGTTGGTAGAGAAGATATTACCAAGATTTTGCTACCATCGTTCAGCATGACGCGACAAATTCTTATTTGGCTGTATCGTACGGCTATAGCAACTTATCAGATGCAAGAAACAAAGATGCATGCTACGCTTCGCGGATAAGGGAATGGACACCAAATTAATGGCTAGCTCCGACTTACCCATAAAGTGTCCGTGTATGAGTTATAGTAATGCCCATGATTGCTGTGGGTTTTCGCTAGGCAAGCGTCTTCCCTATACAACTCGACAAGTCTGACCACTAAACTATTCGCAGTAGCTGTTTCAGACTGGAGAAAGCCACGTGGAGGCCAGCAGATGACGTGGAGACGGGACATGAAGAAATGCACAGAGCGATTAGATAGAGTAGGTGTTTCTCGTCTTCTGGGTTGGGGTCCAAAAGATTCCGTAACCGCATGGTTGGAAACATTGAAGGTCATGGCTGCGAACCGACAGTAGTGGCGATCATACTGTCACTTCTTATCAGTCCAGAATGCTGGAACTAGTATGTATACGCAGTTGCTCTCGGTGTGTTGACCATAGAGGTTTGCTTTTTTCCCGTCTCTGAAAATAGGCCCAAGCCCTGTTGTAAATTCTCCAGAAGACAATTTGAATGTTTCATCATTTGCAGTGTGACTACTATAAATATTTAGAGGTTGTCTGATTATAAATGACAATATCCTTTAACTGCGCTACACCGAATATGTAATGCCAAATGACAGATTTCCAAAGTTAAATGATTATTTATTCAGTAACTTCTGACTACTTTTCTGTTTATAACTGTACACTTCTGTTTTGGTTTGACTGTATCACAATTTTACACGTCATTCTGTAACGCTGCGTTTGAAATTGTCTGTACGCTGGAGTCAAGTAACCTAGTCGTAAGTCTGCTTGAATTCATCGTTTATTGATTGATTACCTTTTACTGTAGAACCACGGTTTACGTAGCAATAAACTGCCTCATTCCTCACTGTTTTCTGCGTCCGCCCAAGCCGTGCACGAGACTGGACTTGACAATTTTAAGTTTACCGCCGCCCATTGGTTTCCACACTTGTCCCCCTTACACATTCTCACTTACCTTGTATGCAATGTGAGTTTGGAAGCGATCAGTGAAGTTCGCTTCACTGTAGCACTCTGTACATTGATGATGACCACTGTACTTCTACGTGAAAATGTGACTCGCCATCGAAAAGGTTATTGCTCATTGTCCCATTTTTTTACTCAGCACGGCTTTCCAGAAGAAGCAAGTGATCTCAACTGTTGAAACAATCATGTTACTTTGCTTTTTATTGTGCTAAGACTGGAGGTACAATCTGAGTGAAAATACCGAATAATCCTGGAAACTTCACTTGTAATCCCATTCCCAAGAGGTTCTGTGAATCATTCCGGTCTATGGGGCAGGAGGTAGTCGTGTAAAAGTTAATTTATCAAATGCGGATGAAATCTGTACGATCCGATGGACACATCCGATAACTAACCAAACAGGATCTCTTGTTTTCGACGAGAAAAATGTGCTGAGTATTTCGGTAACGCTAATTCGCATAGTAAATGTATTGAAAAGAAAAGACTGCTTAACCCAATACACTTCATCTCGCATTCAACCAAAAATATGGAACTTGTATGCCATCTTTCAGTTTGAGTGTGAATTGTGACACAACTTGTCTCACTGTCAACGTGTTTCCTTTTGTATATCTCAGATATTTGGGCCATAACTGTGAACTCTATCTGACCGCTCGCTTGGCACCCAACTTCGCTTCCGCCTGCCGTGTCCTGTACGAGATTCGTAAACGCTGCCCGCAATTTATTCCGCGAAATATGTTTGATTTCGGCTCTGGATTGGGTACGGTGACATGGTACGTGTGTTGCTTTTTACTACTCAATTGGTTAAATTTATTCGCTTCCTACCCAGTTCATTTCTGTCGTGCTATTGAATTTGATCTGACATTTCAATATGAA